GTTAGTCATTCATATACTGCTGCATGGGCTGGGCTGTAGTTACATCCTAAGGGTTTAAAAACTGAGCTTAAATAAATGATTAGCGGTAATAAAAGCCGAGGGAGGTCAACAGTGATCACTGACTGTTTTAGGAGCTTTTTGAGATCAAATAGAAGAAAATACAAAACATTAAACATGTTAACAACACAAAAGCCATATTAAACGCAGACTACTTTAGACCCGGAAGTAGGATTCGTCACGTCATCACTGAACAACCGGGTTGGAGGGGGGCTTTACAGAGCTGCAGGTCCTTGAAGGGTGATACAGTTTGAAGCTGGAGGATCTCTATATAAATATCCGATAGCAGCTAGGTCCCCTAACTTTCAGCAGCTGTTGAAAGGATAAAGTTGTGCTATATCAGTGGTTAGAAATACATCATTACTTTAGGATTAGTTTAACACAAAGTCAGGGCTGACCCGGGACCATGGCTGTGAGTCACAGTGCGCAGCATGAAGGTCCTTTCACATCGGACGCAGCATGTGCTGCTAATGCTAACTGCTAACTAAAGGCAAAGGATCCAGGATTTGTTGCGTTGGCTGCTGGGCTCTGTGTGCAGCAGCTCTACCTGTACTAGATGCACCTGTCGTTTCTATCTCTGACTTTATCTCCTCTACAAGAGTTTCTGTTGTTTTCAAATGTTCTTCAAATGTTCAATAAAAACATGTATCGTTAATTCATAACCAGAAAGCTTTGTAACTATCCCCACTAGTGAAGACTGTGTCATTTCCACAACACTGAAGGAAAACGCTGGGCTGGCATGTAAAAGGACATTTATTCCCTCAGGACCTGAAGCTCCATAAAGCACCCCTCCAATAGCCAAACTCTGATTGGATAGTTACATTTGTGATTGACATGACATTGACCAATCAGCTGAAAGGAAGAAAAATAAGGTCAAAATTTGTACGTGTAACTTGAAACTTGAGTGAAGACTTGACTAAGTCCAAACAGAAATTCTTTTTACACATACAAAACTGATTTACAAGTTCAAAATATTTATGACCACAATTTGAGCCCATGAAAGACAGCTGCTGGAAACATGTGAAACATGTTCGTTTACGTAAAAGGTTCTGTTTGTGCTCTGAGGTCTCGCTGGAGAGGAGAACGTAGTCGGTTGCTCCGGGTGTTCTCTGCACGCACAATCTCACACACACAGATGATGTTACATTGAAGTAAGGCTGTTCGATATATCTCGAATGACGAAATAAAAACATTTATCGTTTCATATTGTGCTATCGTTTGTTCCATGGTGTCGCAAAATAGACTTTGCGGCAATATTTGTTCATGGTTTTGACGGTCACTGTACTGTAAATGTTTAAAATTCTGTCCCGTGTAGACGGGAAAGGCAGCGTTGGCTCTGATGCCGCGTCGAAGCGTTTTCTTTCTCTGCGTCCATCTTTGTTTTACCAACTTTCTCCCAGGTGCTGACACGCTAGTGACAAATGGCGCCATCTGCTGGCCTGAAAAAGCAACTGCTTTTATTACTCTTGTTTATAATAAAATCTCGATATTGCCAAACTAAATATCACAACATTACGCTGTATGGAGTTTTATTAATCACTCCTGTGTGTCTGGAGGAAATGTCTGGGCACCATGTGTAAAAAGTTGTTCAGCTTCTGGCTCCTGATTGGCCAGCCTCTGACTGCAATAGGCAATAGGAGCTCACCTTTGTTTGTTTACTTCAGACATGATTCGGCGCCGCAGCCTGAGAACAAGAGCCATCAAGATGCTGGTCCTGGACGAGGCAGACGAGATGCTCAACAAAGGTGAGCGCGTGTCACCTGGAGCAGGAACACACCTGAGAACTCTGTGATGTCACACCTTAACCACCAGACTGAAACACCTGTCCGGCGTCTAACTTCCTGTCGGCTTTCTGTGTCCAGGTTTCAAGGAGCAGATCTACGACGTGTACCGCTACCTGCCCCCCGCCACGCAGGTGGTCCTGATCAGTGCCACGCTGCCGCACGAGATCCTGGAGATGACCAACAAGTTCATGACCGACCCGATCCGCATCCTCGTCAAACGGTCAGTTTGACGAGGATGCGGATCGGGTTTCTGGCAGAAATGTGGAGCTGAGATTATTCAGAGTGAAACCTGATCCCACCTTACTCTCACCCTCTCTCTCTGTATGTTGATGTCTCTCGGCCGCAGTGATGAGTTGACCTTGGAGGGGATAAAGCAGTTCTTTGTTGCCGTGGAGAGGGAGGAGTGGAAGTTCGACACACTGTGCGACCTTTATGACACGCTGACCATCACGCAGGCCGTCATCTTCTGCAACACCAAGAGGAAGGTCTGTGCACGTCCTCCTGTGTGAGCAGGTGTAGCGCATCAGAGCATCATGGGAAACATAGTGTGTTTGTGTTTCAGGTGGACTGGCTGACAGAGAAGATGAGGGAGGCCAACTTCACGGTGTCATCGATGCACGGAGACATGCCGCAGAAGGAGAGAGAGTCCATCATGAAGGAGTTCAGATCAGGAGCCAGGTGAGCGAACCAGGACCAGGACCAGGACCAGATTCTGATTCAGAGACTGACCTCTGGGTTTTTGTGTTTCAGTCGTGTGCTGATCTCCACCGATGTCTGGGCTCGAGGCCTGGATGTTCCTCAGGTTTCACTCATCATCAACTATGACCTGCCCAACAACAGAGAGCTCTACATCCACAGGTATCCCTCCACACAAACTAGTCCCCACGTGTCCTTCTGCACCAGTCAGGGAGGAGACTTGAGCAGAGTGCTTTGGGGGAGGGGCTTAGACAGGTTTGGGTCCGGTGGTCCTTTGAGGAGAGCAGGGGGTGTTTATTCGTGACTAATGCTATGACCTCTGACCTCCTTCAGGATTGGCCGGTCGGGGCGTTATGGGCGTAAGGGTGTGGCCATCAACTTTGTGAAGAATGACGACATCCGCATCCTGCGAGACATCGAGCAGTATTACTCCACCCAGATCGACGAGATGCCCATGAACGGTACGAGGGAGCCAATCAGGGGCCTGCTGATGTCACTGTTCGCATGTTGTTGTTGTTGTCGGTCTGATTCTGTTCACTGATTGGTTCACTGTTTTTCTCTCTGCAGTTGCTGATTTGATCTAACCTGGATGACATCACACCAGAGCCCCGCCCCTTCAATTCATTTTTTTCTTCCTGTTTGTTTTTTAATAGTTTTAGATGTATTTTTTTTTTAATGTTGAGGTTAAATGACTGTAAGACGGCAGGTTTGTTTTTGTAAATAAAGTTTTGGTTCCAGATGTTAAGGTGGCGTGTCGTTACTATGAGCTCATCTGCAGCGACCAGTCAAAACTCCTAAAAGTAGTCACAGCCGTGAGGAGCAAGACTCTGTCAGGCTGGCTCCACCCCTCGAGGTAACCTGAGGTTTGTCTTTGGAGGTGAACCAGACGAGCGCTCCTTCAGCAGAGAGTGTTACAGCCACAGTGCGGAGCAACGCCCACTCGATGCTGCTGAACACACCTGTGTTCTTACCACTCCCACCACAGCCTGTGTACATGTGAGGAAACCTGAGTGTATTTGCTGTGTGCAGCAACCACAAATAAATACTGCAGTATTTGGGTGTTCTCTTTCTGACCTTGTGCTTTAGTAACATGTGTCTGATCACTTGTACAGTGGACAGGTGTTACCTGACTGTCACAACTGTCCCCAACCACAGCCACGGACCGGTATGTGAGTCGTTTGGCACTGGACGCAAGAGTTGAGGCCTGGGTGTGAAATTTAAATGGTAAATGGCCTGTATTTGTATAGCGCTTTTACTAGTCCTGCCTAGGGACCCCAAAGCACTTTACACACCCAGTCATCCACCAATTCACACACGGGTGGAGCCACAGCTGCCCTGAGGCAGACTGACAGAAGCGAGGCTGCCATATCGCGCCATCTGGCCAACACCAGTAGGTGGTAGGTGAAGTGTCTTGCCCAAGGACACAATGACCGAGACTGTCCGAGCCGGGGCTCGAACCGGCGCCCTTCCAATTCACAAGGCGACCTCCCAACTCTTGAGCCACGATCGGCCTTCACAGAACACCTGATCAGGTGTATTCACATGAATCATTGATGACGATGCAGCTGCAGTAGCAAACGTACCGTTCACTGCGCTGCTCTCTGATTGGCTAATCAGGAGTTATCTTCTTCTTATTCTTTTTTTTTGTAAATATTAAACCTTATTAAGAAACAGTATACAGAACATGTATACAACCAGAACAAAATTAACATATGCCAGGGGGTGTAATACAAAGAATTACAAACATTCAAATAATTTGTAATTACTACAAATAGTAATAGTTTTCATAGCCTTTTGGTTAAGTGATCCACGAATCAATTTTATGTAACATAAAACATCATTATAGTAATGTTTAAAATTAGGCTTTTTGTTACTGTATTTGCATTTGTGAAAATAAAATTTAGCTAAGATAACTAACAAGTTTATTATAAAGTAAACATCTTCTTTTTTTTGCCTTCGAAAGAAACAAAATACAACATTTTCCCGTTTCACAGTAAAGTCTTTGCAGAGATGTCCAGCAATGAATCTACTGAAGTCTTTCCAAAATGTTCTAGCGTATGAACAGATCCAGAAGAGGTGCTGCAGTCTCAGGATGGCTTCCACAAAATCCACAGCTCACATTTATGTCCCTTTTGAACTTTGTCATGTAATGATTAGCAGGATAAAATTTGTGCAGTATTTTAAATGAGACTTCCTTCACTTTATTCGTTACAGATACTTGTTAGAAATTGTCCATACTTTTCCAGTTAATGTCACTGACAAAGGAATCCCAGTAAGAGACCACATGTGGGACAGTTAGAGATTCTGTCCTGAACAAAGCACGAATATTCTTATTACTTTTACTGTGGTTTGTTAGACAGATTCTTCCTATGTGTGAGTTCTCTTCTTCTTTTGTAGTGTGTAGTGTGACGGTGACGTATTTCCGGTGCCGTCGTCGTGAAGCAGCTAGGCTGCCGGAAGCGGAAAAGAAGAAACGCTTTGTTGTTCTGTTTCACAGACGCGTCGATATCTGTGGTCTCACCTGGCGGACAGGTGAGTGCAGAACCTGGTAATACGAACCGGATCGAGCTAAGCGCTCTGACCGGGAGCTGAATATCGCGCTTAGCTTTTGCTAATTGAACTAGCTGTGCTAAGAGTGGCTCCGCGCTAGCCTTAGCACAGACCGGCCATTGATCAGTGGTCATGAGAATTTGCATAATTAAGATTAAGGACCTCCCAGCCCATTGTTCCTCAGTGGGCTGGTTTCAGTCATTATGCAAATGTCCTGTTTATAAGATTGAAACCTGCAGTCAGCTGAGACTGAAGACGTCACCTGATGATGACGAAACGTTTCTCCCACTGAAAACATCCAGATGAACAGAATCATGCATCAAGACGATGCAACATGTGGTACCCGGAGTGTGGAATATGTAAACAACTCTAACCAGTTAACCTGGAGCTCCGCCTCCGCTGTAGCCTGGCTCCGCCTCAGGTCAGGCCACGATGATGTGAAGGATGGGTACTTCACCCGAAAGAGTTTAGGTTAAAGGTTATGGTTTAGGGTTAAAACAGGTTCCTGTTATAGCATAATTGTGTTCTGAGTGCGTGCAGAACATGGTTATTACACGAGCAATCATGGCTAGCTCTGATTGGCTGCAGTAGGCTTTTCTGGGTCACATGTTTCTGACAAATTCCTCATCTTTCTGCAGGAGTCGCATCCCCACCTCCTCTCAGCAGATTTTCTGCAGGTCGAAGGTCATGGCACTGATCTCTTTGGAGGATCTCGATGGATTGGATGACGAGCAGCTGGACGATGACATCACAGACAACCCCGAGCCAATGGATGAAGATGAGTCGGAGCGCCTGATGAGTCACTGGCAGGCTGTCGCCAGCACACACCAGGTGTCAGTTCCTCAAGGTCAGGGGGTGGGGCCAGTTTCTGTGTGATGCAGGCACTGATTGATCAGGGGTTGATTGTTTATGTGCTTATTTCTGTACAAGGCCTCTGATTGATGCTCAGCATGGAGATATTCAGGTGTTTTTTTTCACCTGTCATATTTCGCCCCAAAAAGGGGTGTAGCCACTCAGAATGAAACTTACCTGTCTGAGTGGCGCCGCCCCACCGTAGTGCTCTGATCCATGGTGGAGGCTTCGTGGTAGCCACTGCCGCCTCTCCTCAGCTGGTTGCTGTCTCACTTCAGTTCAGTTTTATTTACACAGCGCCAAATCACAATAACAGTCGCCTCAAGGAGCTTTATATTGTAAGGTCGACCCTACAATAACACATACAGATAAAACCCAACAATCATATGACCCCCTATGAGCAGCACTTTGGCGACAGTGGGAAGGAAAAACTCCCTTTTAACAGGAAGAAACCTCTGGCAGAACCAGGCTCAGGGAGGGCGGGGCCATCTGCTGTCATTGGTTGGGGTGAGAGAAGGAAGACAGGATAAAGACATGCTGTGGAAGAGAGACAGAGGTTAATAACAGATATGATTCAATGCAGAGAGGTCTATTAAACCATAGTGAGTGAAGAAGGTGGTTAAATGATTACATCCTTAAAGTCCGTTACAGCACTTTCAGAAAAACATCTGCTGTGATGAAATCTTCACTGCTGTGTAATCAATTACTGCACAGAAAACAGAACTTCCTGTTCTGTTTTCCAGAAATGAGAGGACCCATACAGGAAATGACACGCAACAGCCAGCAGAGGGAGCCCCTCCCCTTCACACCCATCTCAAGCCACGAGAAGGTAAATGCCCTGACCCTAAAACCTAACCCCGCCCCTCTCCGTCAGTGCTGATGTGTGGTACCACCCACAGATGGGGGAGGTGCAGTACGAGGAGCGGCTGTACCCGGCCGGTCACTGGGCGTCCGTGACACGAGGAGACGACCTGTACGAGCAGAGCATCTCCATGGCCTTCATGAAGCTGATGCGCTTCATCTGCAAGGAGAATTCTGCAGGTCAGGCTACGCCCACCACCGCCAGCCACACCGCACGCTTGCTGGACCGTTCAGCTGCGATCGATGCCTGCAGGTCACGTGATTGTGTTGTTGCTCATGTACAGGTAGATACCTGGGGATGACCGTACCCATCATCAGTTACATCCGTATGGCGAAGGACGGCAAGACATTTGAGAAGGATGTGGAGACGGCGTTTTTCCTTCCCGCCGCGCTCCAGCACAGCCCGCCGCAATCCTGCGACCCTGACATCAGCATCGTCTACAGACAGCCAATCAGAGTGGTCACCAGGTGAGAAGATCATTGCCACATTGTGGTTTGTGATGTGGGCGGGGTCACAGAAGACAACCTGAACAGGAAATGTGACATCAGACAATAATAATAACAACAACAATAACAATTAAATGATTGAAGCTGCAGAGGTTAAAGTGCAGCAGCGAGCTCAGCACTGATTGGCTGTTGTGGTCATACTTCAACCATCAGCAGACATGAAGAGGTGACAGGAAGTGACCCGTCAGATGGGGGTTTCGAATGCTGAAGCCCTTTCTCAATTCTCAAGTACGCAAGTCCAGACTTGCTGAGAATGCGAGCAGGACTCGAGCAGGACTCGACAAGCGTACTTGATGATTTCATCTGTCCGGCGTTTTTACTGCCGTCCCCTCTTAGTTTAACTGTGAGTAATATGTTATATAATAATAATTTTATATTGGATTTATATATTTTCAAGGCACCCAAAGCGCTTTACAATGCCACTATTCATTCACACATTGGTGGAGGCAGCTACAGGTGTAGCCACAGCTGCCCTGGGGCAGACTGACAGAAGCGAGGCTGCCATATCATCGGCCCTCTGACCAACACCAGTAGGCGGCAGGGTGAAGTGTCTTGCCCAAGGACACAACGACCAGGACAGAGAGCCCAGGGATCGAACCGGCGACCTTCCGGTTACAGATGCGCTTCCCAACCCCCTGAGCCACGGTCGCCCACAGTTATGAAGCTTAACTTTAATCTCAGCCAAACCGGTTTACTCAGGAACAAATAACAACAACAACAAATAAACAAATAAAACATAGCATGTTTAAGTGATCTAAGAGACTTATCTATCATGTTTAACCCGAGTAGTGAAAGACCATGGGGGGTTGAAACGATGTGCTGGGAGTCCGCTGTTCTCGCCGGCTATAGTGATCCTCGACCTCCCGGTCTGCTACGGAGCTGGCGGGTCACAGATGTCTCTGAAAATGTCAGAGCGCGTTTGGACAAATGCATATCTTGATAAATCGAGCAGATATTTGACGTTTACGCAGCTACATTCTAGTTTATTTTGTGACCCCGAAAGAGATGGTCTTTTTAGCCGCGTTTGAGTTTTGGACGAAATGCATTCTGGGATATTTTGCTGTACCAAATACACAGAAGTCACCACTGATGCACGCTCGATAAAACAGGCGGAGCGAGAACACATCCGGGAATTTTTCGCGTCCTCGGCTTGATGCGTAGTTTGAATTGGAACGGTACCTGGTCTCCGACTGATGACGTATCACCGGTGCAACAACACACAAGTACGAATATTGAGACAGGCCCTGAGTCATCAGATCGTGGGCGGGCGTGCGTCGGGTTTCGCGTCAAATTAACGACTCTGCTTTCTGATTGGGTGCAGGCCGTTCTTCGGGACGACCACGGAGGAGACGGTAGGCCGCCAGATCCTGCTGCTGTGGGAGATTCTCGGCGCCACTGATGAGCTGCACAGCGATCGGTACGCCGTGGCCGTGTACGAGAACCCAGGTGTGCCGCGACGCCGGAACGAGCTCTGGTTCATCAGGCGTGATCTTTAGGCTCCTCCCATCATGCTCTATTTCAGCACGTCCACTCACAGCTTCCTGTCAAACTGACATCAGAGCAGTCATCTGTTATGAGGACACTAGGCCCCACCCTTTCTATTAGCTCACACTTCACAGGTCTGTTCTGATTGGCTGGAGCAAGGTGATGATGCCATAAGGGCTGATTGTGATTGGTTTGTTGGTTTACTTACATCGTGTAACATTTATTTACAGACAAAAGGAGGCTCTGCCCGCATCTTTTCAGTAATGCAATCATCATCGGTGATGTAATCGTGACCGCTGCCATGGCGTCCATTCGCATCTCTTTGAATTTCTGCAAAACAGGAAGTGACATGGTGTCGGTACCAGCACTTCCAGTTTAGTCTGATTGTAGCAACCAATCAGCTGAAAAAGCCATCTGAAAAGGAACCCCTCCCCCCGGTGCTGTCTAAAGACTGAGGTATTGATCACATGATCAGCGGCAGCCTGAAACCTTAACACATGTGGTCGAGTGCGGCGAGCCCGAAGGTCTCATACATGTCATCGCCAGAGGGGGGAGGGGTCACGGGTCAGTATGTTTTTATGCGCCGACATCACCAGTGCGTTCAGATGATTCCTCTAAATCATTCAAGCACATCACACGTCACATGACTCCTTCAGACATCCTGCCGTCTCGCATGTGGTTCCTCGCAGGACTGTGATGTCACTGTGATGTCAAAGGTTTTGAATGTTGTGTAGATTTTGTGTGTTGTTGTTTTTCCTGCTTTGTGTAAAAATCTTGAAATAAAATGTTTGATTTCAAAAACGTTTGACTTGTTCTCTGACTCGGCAGCTCTGATTGGTTCTCGCTGGCACCTCCGTTTATGAAGCCACTGCTTCTTACGCTTCGATGGTTTCAGTTTCCCATTGGCCTGCAGGTGGCGCTGTGTGGGTCCAACAGCGACGCTCACTTTGATACTGAAAATGCTTCGAACGATGGCAACGCCGAGTGAAACGCTTTCCTGTGTTTGTTCTTTGGATAAACTTTATTTCCACCAGCTTCTTTTACATAGTTTCTTTTTTCTAGTTTCAATCCTGTGTCGCTTTTAGTGTGTGGGGGGGCTGAGAGGCGGAGTCTTGCTGCTGGCTTTGCCGATGTTTGCAGTCCAGGCGGAGCTCCTGAGCAGCAGGTTAAATTTGTTTGGTCGTCTCTGTTGTCACTCGATAAGAAGTTGACAGAAGTGACGCACTGCGATTTTCAATGACATCAGTTTTTGAGGTCGTTCTTGAACGCACGTGACCCGTTCCTGTAAGTCTGCAGGTGCTCATACCTTTACTTTCACTGAGAAATTGGGGACTTATGAGGGGTCAGAGAACAACAGTGTGGAAAGTTGTTCCCAGAGTATGCAAGGCCACTTGAGTTTTGAGAAGGCAGTGAACTTCCCAGATGCTGCAACCCACCATGTGAATATGGGAAGGAGTCACAGGCTGCATGGACGGATATGTATTCCCATAAAACGTGCCTCCACCCCAGATGCTGAGGAATGACAACCACTGGTTTTCCATTAATGTCCAAGGTGTGTGCACTCCCCAGTTACAGTTTCCAATATTGTTGCATTTTGGAAAGGTGCCACTAAAGATCATTGGGTTTGGACTGACCTCATCACTGCGCGCTCAGAGGAGATCACGATGGATTGTTGCTTGGTGACAGTGCGTCACCCACCTGAGCAAAGGTGCGCACCAGGGCTCTAGTGGAGTGTGTTTGATGGAGTCGTTTCCAGTCCCTAAGAATACGCTTCGATTCACGCCAAAAAGATGCTGCATCATCACATTACCACCACCGTTCTTCATGACTCCCTGAAAGAGCACGCATGCCCACACCCTCCAACACTGCACCTTCAGTTCCAACCAACCACAGTCAAGGACCTGCTTACAGAGATGTAAGCCGCCGAAATGCCACGTTCTGCTTTAATACACATTTTCACACGTCGTGGTCAAATGACTGCATTCTGTATTTGTGTCCACTATATGAAAGAGTCACATGACAGGATGTAACACTTTTTAATTCATTGCAGAAATATTGAAATAAAAGGTGGAAGTGAGTGAGTCGGTCTCAGCAGCATAGATTTACATCACTGTGAACTCTTTAACCAGCTGCCGTTTATGCGACGATCACACGCGTGTGAACGCAGCACACTTATATTCGCATTAAGTTGTTTAATGATGCGATTGAGCAGTTTCACAAACATCGTGGAACTCATAAACAGCGTTAGCTTTTTGCTAATGTTTGTGATGTTTGTAGCTGTGACATCGTCGCCTTTGTTCATGAGCTCGAGAGCTGCAGCCGCCTGTCCGGCGCTCGAAGCTGCTCCTGTGCAGGCAGATCCTACCTGTGCTGTGTGTCTGTGTGTGTCTGTGTGAAACAGAGTGAAATTGATCTAAACGTGAACCCTTGATGTCTGCAGTCTAAGATGGAGGTCAAATGACCGCCGCCCCCCGCCCCCTCTGAGGCAGGCGGGGGTCAGAGGTCAGCAGAAGAAATGTGACCGAGACCTGAGCCCGGGACACTCAGAGGAAATGTCAGTGTCCATTTAAAACGCTGCCTCCACCTTTTTCACCGTTAGCAACGCGAGTCTTTAAATTTTCATCAGTGCCCGCCCGCCCGAGCGGCGTGATCAATTATTCAGGCAGCGCTGAGGTCGACACTCTCACAGAGGAGACGCTGCAGAAAACTCCCTTAAACTCAAACCGGCTCCATCTGTACCTTCACCATCACAGCTCACCTCCGGGATCAAATGACCCACTGTGACCTCACTTCCTGAAACGCTTCAGCTTGCTCCTTGTCCTCGTCTTCATCCTGGCCTAAAGCGTGTTCAGCCTCCACCTGCTCCTGTACAAGCAGGTGATGGAGGTGTGTGTGGGGGGAGTGTCACATGATTCCTTCAGTCGCTGAGCTGCACTTACGAGTTTCATCAGCAGCTGCGGAGGCTGCTGATTGGTCGGCTGATGCTGAGTCAGCTGCTCCTCATCCTCACCGCAGCGCTGCTCAGAGATTTGGGATTACAGACCTGCACTTTTATTACATGTGGTTGAATTCCTGATGTCACTGCTTGTAAATAAAGTCTGGTCGGCCTCACCCCAGATTCCACATTTCGGCTCTAACCTGTGGTGGGTTTAGAGCCGTGTTTTTTTGGCTGCTGCTTGTCGGAGTGCCTGACGCTCGCTGCGTGGAGGCGTTGCCGAGCGCCTCGGGTAGACAAACATGAAGCGACAGCTGCGGAGGAAGATCTACCTGAAGGTCACCTCAGACAGTTCGTGTGTCATCAGAGCTCATCTTCATCATCCTGTCGAAGAGTTCAGACACTCGACGTGTTTTCATCCCCTGGCGTCCAGAGTCTATGCCTCGCTCTGATTGGTCAGCTGTTTATAAGTCAAAGATTAAAACAAAGGTCATTTTTCAGTTCTAGGATCGTCAGCGTGACGCTACGCTTGCCATCTCTTTGCCGCGGACAACCTAAACCAGCAAAGTGCAGGTTTAGTTACCCACGATGCATCAGGAAAAGTGGTCGTCTTTGTAACCCTGAAAAGTGATGAAACACGCCGGTGACCTCTGGAACAACCTGTAGCGCTCCAATCAAAGCAGCACCAAAGCACTGACTGACGGCCTCGTGGTCACAGCGGCGCTGACACCTGAACATATGAACCGAAGAACTTCAGATTTGTGAAACGACCTCTTTCAGCGGGCGAAGACGTTAAAAACAGAAACATGAAGCCAAGCATCTCAAGGTGAAAGGGTTAAACGCCGCCGCGTTGAATCTTTCTGCTCCGTGATTTTCTCTGCGTTTCATCAGAGTTTCATCACATTAAAGGGACACGCACGCAGGCCCACTTCCTGCTGCTCACGCGACTGTGGCCTCAGCAGCTGAGGACAAGGCCCCGCCCCTCCTTCCTGACCAGAGGCGTGCAGTCACCCTGCAGTTTAAAGCGGTTTACATCGTTATCTGCCTGTAGGGAGTCTGAACTCGGCTCCTTGCTCTATGTGGAGGTGGTGGGGAGGAGGCAGCATCATGGCAGGCAGCGGCACGGGGGTGGAGGTGCCTCAGGTCACCCGAGGCCCGCCGCTGAGGTTTAATGAGGCCGACAGCCGAGCACCGGTTTCAGCCGGCCTCATTAAAGTGGGAGAACAAACCGATCTTAATGAGGAGAACATGAAGGCGCGTGGGTGTTGTCACGGCAACAGGGACAGCTGAGGATGGAGATGGAGTCTCGTTACTGAGCTGAGGTCAAAGACGCTGATGAGCTGTAACTAACAGGCTCCTCATGGTCACATGACCAACAAGCATCACCTGAGGAAGCGTGGGCCGGGCTCCGGTGCCCGCAGGCTGAGCGTGCGTCCCATTGACCCGCAGCAGCTGATCTGAGTGATATTTGAGCGATTAGCTCTTGACACCAAACTGAGCTTCGCTCGTCTTCATCGAAACGGCGTCAGGAGCGGGGGCGTTCAGAGTATTCATCCATAAAGAAAATGGCAGCACGTCAGGTTGAGCCTGCGTCTGCAGCGGCGCGGTGTGAGCAGGTGTTCGTTCTGCAGAACAACGAAGGTTTAAATGAAGAGCAAAGTTTAGATTATGGAAACGAACATGAATTTACAAAAGTACTCGAGTACTCCCCCTTCCCCCGTTACAGAGGCATCATTTATATTTTGACATCATTTGGACATTTGTGTGTGTGTCTGTTGTGTGTGTGTGTCTGTTGTGTGTGTGTGTCTGTTGTGTGTGTCTTCAGTCAGGGATCATGATTCTGGCTGGTCCAGCCCCTTCGGACCCTGCATCACCTGATAAGCTCAGATAAAAGAAGACGCACCTTCAAAGAGAGCGCACCTGCTCAGACTGGCTAATTACGGCACTTACTGAGCATGAGCAGACCGACCGACTGGCTCGGTCTGCAGGTCCGATACCAACACAAAGGCCCGGATTCGTCCGCCTGAACCCGCAGACTGAATTCAGTGAAATACAGTGGCTGCACTGATGTCACTGCTGGCCGTTCAGGTTCAGGCCCGACAGCATCGACAGCTGCTCAGCATGCAGACGGCGTACGGGTTTCTGTTTTCTGCGCACGCTGAAACATGTTCATGATGGAGAACAAAGAGCGCTCCTGCCTCATTAAAGCCTCGCAGTCTTCCTCCAGCTGATCAGAATAAAGATGGAGACTTTATGTAACGTCTCATTAAAATGGACGCGCCGCTGTGAGTGGAGG